GCTGGAAGAGAATCAGAAAGTGAAACACAGCTGCTGCAACCTGGCACTATAGTTGCCCGATACTGATTCTCAGCATCAACATTTTCTTCCCACAAAGTTTCTATTGGTGAAAATGAGGATGAAGAAAACCTAATCACAAAGCTAAATAGGAAGAAAACCAATCTTTTTATAATGTCTGACTTTTAACTCAGGAAACTCCTTAGCATAGCAGTGTATAGGACCTACAGTAGCTTTACTATATTACCTTTTAAAGGTGGTCCCAAGACACTGATAAAAATCATGTTGTATCAAGTTAGAGATAACTGTAATTTACACACGTCATTAGACAAATGCAATTTATTTGATGCTACGCACACTATATACTTTATACACCCAGGGCCTAGAAAAGGAGCCTGTCCCAGGAAGACAGCAGGTCGAATATGGCAAGGCTCTATGGAGACACCTAGACACGTAGGCATTCTTACCTGCACAAGCCATGTCCTTTCATCTCCGCCCCTCACCCACAGCCAACTAACCGACATAAAGGGTTCACATACACTGTTGGATGAATTCGCTTCCACACGCACCTGCAGCTGCAGTTTGAATGTTACACTGTGTGGCCCATGGGTACCAGCCAGCTTTATCCCTGCTACTGTCACTGCTCTGCTTTTACAATCATGTCCAGAAGAGCTACACTGTCCTCTCTCTATCTCCTCGGCCCCAAGTCTTAAACTTCTCTTCTTTCTGCTCCCTCTCCAAGGATCCTCTCGAATAGAGCCACAGGAAAACCTACAAGGGTAGTACAAGACCCAGGAAAATGATGTCACTCGGACAAGGAAATACAAAATTAAACATTATGGCAAAGGTTCTCAAGCACTTACAGATTCCAGCCAGAGGCAGCCGGAAACTGACAGTAATCAGACTCAAGTATGCCTGAGATTCCCCGGTTACTCTAAATGATACCACTATCCATCAGACACAGTCACTCACTCATCAACTAACTTTAGCCATGGAGAAATAGAAGTGGTTAGGGTTCTGAAGTCTGACTCACATGAACAATCCCAGGCAGGGCTGCCACATTGCCAATCTGCTTCATGGCTGGCAGGAAGCCACCGACACCTGGAAACAAAAATTGGGTCTTAGGGGAAAAGGAGCACTTTTGATTTCACCATGTTTCTAGGCTGCCTTACACAGAGGGGCAGTGGTTAAGGCTTTTAGAACAACCAAGAGAGGAAGACTGGATGAAACGCAAATGGGAGAGGAGCTTCTGCAGGAAGGCAGCCCATGCGCAAGGCAGATTAACTACCGCACTAATTACAAACATTTCACCAGGATACACCTCAATAAGTCTGCTCGCAAATGTTCTGGGTTACACAACAGAACTGCCAAACTAGGCTGCCGGTGCAGAGAGAAGTTATTCTTTCAGTAGTTCATATTACACCCCCAACACAAAAAAAGGTTAATCTAAGTGACACAGAAGGGCAATGGGAAAACAATGGCTTCAAGAAAAACTGACACCATTCAAAGTTGAGAGGCCACAGGGTTCCTGTCCAGTTCTTTCACTTTAGACTAGTGCACATATCTTGGTGGAGGGAGGGCCCTAATTTGCTGATCTTAAAAATAAAAGGGGCTAAAACTAGGTGGTTTCTAGTTCACTGTCACCATGAGTGTATTGTCTTAGAGATTTAAACACTGATCTCCGACCCTCAGGGCAGCCCTGCAAGACAGGGGTACCAAGTCCTATTTTATCAATGAGATGCTGGTTAAGAATGTTGGTTCCAGGGCCAGGGATTTAGCTCAGTGGTTCCACTGTCTGCCTAGCGAGCACAAGGTTCTGAGTTTGATCCCTGGTACCCCCCTCCACCAAAAATGTTGGGTCTGAAAGTGGATACTACTGGATTTTAATTCCGGCTCTGACACCAAGAAGTTGTGTGACCATGGGCAAATTAAAATTACTTGACCTCATGACACTGTGACTTATGCACCTGTAAAATGGAGATAATAATACCTATCTTTTAATTTATCTTAAGTATTACATGAATCATCTATGGAAACCATTGTTAAAATGCCTGGCACACAGTAGGTACATAACACATAGTAGCTCCTACTATTACTGTTCAAGGTTAACTGAGATAGAGCAGGTGCTCGGCTCCAAACCCTTCCTACAAGCTCATATGGCTAAGAAAATGAACACAGACAAGTCAGTGCTTTGGTTTGTTTCAAGCTTTGATTATTTCTTGACAACATTTTAAAAATAGTAATTATTTGAGTCAGTGTTTGTTCAGATCACGTATTAGGGGCCACTTGTACCACAAATGAAACTAACAGACTCACCACCTCCTCGACAGGCATTCCTTAATTCCTCAAACATTAACTTCTCTAGAGCATCATTCACATAGAAAACACCTTCAACCTTGGGCCAAAGAAAAGAAAAGGCAACATCTGAGTTCATGTAGGTGAAGTGCAGGTGCAACAGACAGATAATTATATGCCATAATTTGCTTTACTTTTTACTAAACTCTCATTTCATCTTTTACAAGAGGAAAACTTCCTATCAAAGACTAAAAGGTGTTCAAAGGGTTTCAGATTTTGGAGTATTTCAGATTTGCGGTTTTTTGGATTAGGGATGCTTCTCCAATAAAGTCTATGCAAATAATCCCAACTCCAAAAAACTGCAAAATCAGAAACACTTCAGGTTCCAAGCATTTCAGATAAAGGATAAGCAATGTGTATTTTACAAAGTTCACACACTGCTTGAGACGACGTGTGTTCACCCCGATTTGCAGATTACACCCGTAGGCATGAGTACCGTAACGTCACAGGGCGCCCCGGGATAGGTACAATCCTGATCCGTCAATTAAAATAAGAAAAAACAGCGCTCTCTCCCAACCCAGAGGCTGCTTGTCCCCTCGGTGCCCGGGGTCGGGCGGACGGCTGTCGGGGCTGCTTCCCCCTCGTCCGGGCGGGAGCGGCTCCGATCACCACTCGTCTGGGCCGCGCGGGCGTGGACAGAACGTCACAGGGCGCCCCGGGATAGGTACAATCCTGATCCGTCAATTAAAATAAGAAAAAACAGCGCTCTCTCCCAACCCAGAGGCTGCTTGTCCCCTCGGTGCCCGGGGTCGGGCGGACGGCTGTCGGGGCTGCTTCCCCCTCGTCCGGGCGGGAGCGGCTCCGATCACCACTCGTCTGGGCCGCGCGGGCGTGGACAGAGGTCGCCGTGGCCACCTGCTCCTCCGCGCCCTCCGCGACGGTACTAAAACCACCCCCGCCGTGTTAATCTCGGCGGCTGTGAGGAACAAAACCTTTCTGGCTCCCCTTGCGGTCCTGGGTGTTGAACCTAGGGTCTGTACACTGAGCCGCAGCCTCCCTCCTTTCGTCTCGTTGTATTACTGTTATTTCTTTATGGCAGACAGGGTCTGGGAAACCGCCCAGGCGCCCCGAGCTCGAGATCCTAACGCCTCACAGCTCCCAGCGGACTGGATGAGGCTGTACAGCCGCGCCCCGCTGCATAACACACCCGCAGGGCGTGAACGCTAGAAACCTGGCTCCGGGAACGCGGCGGGCCAGCCCGGGAGAGGACGCGGCACCGAGAGGGTGAGAGAGGCGGCGGACACGGGCCGGAAGGCCCCGCCTCACCTGCATATTAGGCACGAAGGCCTTCTTGATCCTCCAACAGTTCTTGTTGATCTTCTCCAAGAACTGCAGCTCATCGTTGTAGCTGCGGCTCATGGTGAAGAACACGACGGAGCTCCAGGCTCGCTGTGGAGAGGAGATGTGGCGCGGACGGCGTCGCAGAGCGCTACGCGATCCAACGCGCAGGCGCAGGCGCAAGCGCAGGTGCAGGGCGGGCGACGGCGAGTGCCAAGGCTCTAAATTCCTGCTCCGATCGCTTACTTCTTGTTAGACTGCCCTCTAACGTTTACTTTTGGGAGTCTTCAGGAGCGGTCTCGACCACGGCTAAGCGCAAAGCTGAGTTAAATCTGGTAGTTTTTAGCGTGACCGAGGTATATTTTATTGGTTAGTGCTTTTGAGCTGCTCATGAAGAGACCTCGAATCTGGGGCAGGTCCACCTGTTCCAGGGATGCGTGGGCCTGGAGTTCACCCCCAGAGTGAGGGAAGATGCAGCCCGCGCCCAGGAAGGGCAAACTTGCACCGATCCAGAATGAATCTGTGGAGGCGATCACCCCAAAGGACGAACCAGGAATTCTAGCAGTTATTCCAGCCACACTTCGGGGCTCCCGCTGAGCTTAGAAATGTGCCTTGCTAAGGTGGGTGATGGACACATGTCGACTCCGCACCACGAACGTCATCATTGTGTCTGGCCAACATGGACTCGGGAACTTTTTATAAAATGTGAAGATGGGATCACAGACCGGATGGATAGCCACGCCCTCTCAGACATCCCTCTTGGGCGGCCAGGGCCTCCAGGGTCACACTCTATCCAACACAGCCTGTGAGCTTTGAGCGCGTTGCGGCCAGCCCTGTCTCCTGTAAAGTTCAGCAGCGTCAGAATAGGGAGGACTTGGGTTTGATCTCTCCTCGTGCCAGTTACTAGCCGCATGCGAGGAATTCCCCTTCACCTCTGCTTCATCACCTGTAGAATGGATCGTAATTCTTGCTAGAGTGTTGTGAAGATCAATGAGATGACGCTCCCAAGTCCCCCTTGGTCAGCACTCTAAGCCTCTCTCTTCTGTTCCCCTCCCGACCTAAAGGGCTGCACAAGGGGTTCAGGTTTCTGTTCAACTCTTACATTATCCACAGCGGTTCCCTTCCCTCCTCCTCTGCCTCAGTTTCACCCCACTGCCTACAGCTCTAACAGCATTAATATGAGTATAAGCTCCAAATCGGCCAAGCTTAGGACTCTCCACTGCGCTTTCATCAAATCCTTGTGTGTATATGACTGTGGGTTCATCCTAAAACTGGAGCAAATAATACAAGGTGACCCAGGAAAGATGTAAGAGGTCAAAAAACCAGACTGACACTGATACAAAATGATTTTAATCAGATATAAGGGTCTGTATCAGTGAATATAAAATGTAAAATCCAGTATGCAGGTAGAGACAAAACTCTAAAGGAGGGAACTGAAATAAATATAGACTTCCAAGTTTTTACCCACCAGGTCAGAAATACATGCCTCACTCTTGTCCCCAGAATCTTATAAACACAGACACAGCAACTCACGGTGCCATGAGTATCCCTCTGCACACAGCACACAGGCCTCTGTTCAGCCCATAATCCAGGTGGCCTCACTCTCAGTTTCCTGAAGGCTCCAGAGAGCAAATTTTCTGCATCTGCATTTCAGAAGGGTTTTCAAATTCCACTGTGCTCCCTCTTCCCCTTTGGGTGCTGTGGGATAAGGGCCAGGTACTTCCTGGGGTAGATGTGAACAGGCATCAAGGAGCCGGCTGCCCCATCCCCTGTCCTCTTATCAGGTTCAGATCTCCCAGACCATGGAAACTTGGCTGCTGTCTCGAGGACATTTCATATTTCAGGTCGGTGGAAATCAAAACAAAACCCTGAAAAGGACACAACAGTGAACATCAAATTTGGAGCAAGTCTGGGTTTGTCTGGGGGTTAAAGGACGGATGGCTTCTTTACCCAGCCCCAAGGTGTCAGTTCCTCCAACTTCTGATCCTGCTTGTGAGGGCCTCAGAGATAGGATTGTTGTCACTAGTGTGATATGAGCAGTGGGAGGTGGGGAGAGGGAAGCTGGGAGGTGAGACAGGTGTAGGGTTTCTTACAGGACGAGAGATCCTTTCGGAAACTCATTTTCTCCTTCTGAAACCAAAACTGTGCCCCCAAAAGGGCGGATTAGGGGGTATTATGAAGCTAGTTAGTAATGATTACCTAGGAAACAGCTTAATAGATTCCTGGGCCTACATGCTGTGATTAATAATCCCAGCCTTACAGCTTGTATTGTGAAGTAAAAAAAGTGTATTATAGCATATCTTCTTGTACTGTGGAGTGAATAAGCTTGGCTAAGTGAAATTGGACTTGGTCTGATTTTTAAACCTTTCATTGTTAATTGCAAGCTTTAAGAGCTAAACATCTTGTTTATAAAGCCCCCCCGGGGGGGCGGGGAAAAGACAAAGCAGAACAAAATAAAACAAGCAATAAGCAAAAACAGGAAGAGCCTTATTCTACTATGAGAAGAAATGGGGTGGTGAAGAGCAGATTTAAAAATCTTACCTTGGGCCAGGGATTTAGTTCAGTGAAAAAACTTACCTCGAGAACTTCAATATCTGAGTTGACCAATGAGATGTTGTATGGCTGGGGCAGGGGAAATCCTTGCTGCAGTTTTGCTAAAATACAGAAAAGATGTAAGGTAATTGGGCACAGGCACAAACATCTGGCAAACTTTTTAAACAAATAGGTAGCTTTTGGACAGTTTATCTTTTATCTTCCTCATTCTGTTTTCCTTCTCTCTGGTGTGTCCCTAGTATTTTTCTGGAAGAATTGTTAATCCATCTGTGTTCAATAAAAACACACCTGCAATTATGTGCATTTATGCTCCAGGAAAATGATGTCCCTTTTCTACTTACACAATCGCTATTTTGAAAATACCTTATTAATATGTCCTGAGAATGTTTCATAGTCTAATGTAAAACCACTTTAGCCAGATACAGTGGCATACATCTCTAATCCCAACATCAAGGGAGACCAAAACAGGAGGGTTACAATTCAGTCCTGGGCAGTTAGTGAGACCCTGTCCCCAAAACTAAAAAGGGCTGTGTATGTAGCTTAGTGGTACAATGCTTCCAGGTTTGATTCCTAGTACTGAAATATACTTTGTTTGTTTTGTTAAGAGCCAAACTCTCCAGATGCTGTAGTTTGTGAATCATGGAGAGGCCTAGGATCATCATCCAGTAAATTGGATCTTGTGTGGGAACCACAGAGCCTTCCCCGGGAGAATCACCACATTTCCTGTTGGCCCGAAAAATGCTTTACAATTCTATACTGTTTGATTCAGCCAGAGTTGGTGCTGAGTTTAAGTAAGTATAATTGCAAACAAGACTTGGGCCTGGAATAACCCTGTGGGTAGCAGTATTCACTGTAAATTCTGACTCCTGCCTGTTTTCCAAATAACACTCTGGGAGGACAGACTTCCAAGTGGAAAGTCCCAAATGATCTCCAGGTTTAACCAGCATCAATGACATCGTTTCTAGAGTCCCTTACTGTTGGCCAGGGGGAGGACTCCAAAGTGCAGGATGGAGGACAGAATATTCTCGAACCTCAAGACCTGCGGTGAAAGAGAAAATGACTTCAGCTGCCTGATCAAAGCCTTTTGGAAATATCATGTGTGGTGTGACCTGCACTTTTCTGGACCACACCCAGGAAGCGATAACCTCAGCTTTCCCAAGGGACATGCTAGTTTTGTGGGAAACCACACTACAGCGCTTCCTGGCGATGTCCCTCCTCGGGATGGACATTCCGCTCCCCTCTGTGCTGGTCCTGGTGGTGGCCATGGTGCAGAGACCTCAGGGTGCAGGGAATGAGGCAGCTTAGATACCCACCGAGCCGACTAGCAGCCCTGCCTTTACCTTAGGAGCCTCACCCAAGGGAGAGCCTTTGTGCTGCACACACTCTGACGTCACCATACCCACAGAACACCTGGCTCACCCCTAACAAACCATGGGATTTAGGGAGCCTAGGCCAGGTGCTGGGAAGACCCAGGAACTAAAGACAAATGGAGGAGGGTGAGCATCAGTTCCCCTGTGACTCTTTCAGAGCGTTCTCTATGCTCATCACGGAGAACCTCTGCAGCCAAGCAAGTGTGGCTTCGAAGCCAGATTCCCAGGTTTTCTTCTTGTCTTTGCCACTTGCTATGTGATTGTTGGGAAAGTTACTAAACCTTCCTGCCCCCCCATTCCCTCAACTGTAAACTGAAGAAAACAGTAGTCAGATACTTGTGCAGTCTTCATCAACCTCATGTCATAGGGTGGTGGTGAAGATTAAACAAGTTAGCGCTATGCAGAACGCCTGCATACACCATCGTCATTTCTCCCGACACACAGCGGCTAGCACATTCTGCTGTCAGTGCTGAGCAGTTTACTGGGGCCATCCTGGAAGGTGTGGACTTGCTCTGCCTTGTCTCTTGGGAAATACTATGGATGAGAAAGCAGCTATGCCTCTTCCTGACTCTGTCGCCTCAAGTGTCTGTGTCCTGGGACAGCACCTGGCCTGGGATGTGTGACTTGTCTCCCAGCTGTGGGCACCATTGCTCCTGGCTGCCAATTTCCCCAAACCGGGTATAAGGATGCCCCTCTAAAATCAGACAAGCAAATACCCGGTTTGGCTTTCTGGCCAGGTTCCCTGACTTCTTGGATGTTTTCTCTCATATCTGTTCCCACCCTCTTGCCACGTTTCTGCTGGACACGGTAAAAGCCTCAGTAGCCACTGTCTCTGTGTGCTGCCTTAGGAGAGGCCAAGTGATTTATCGAAGGCCACGCAACCAGGAAATAGGGCTCCTGTTTAGAAATAGGGCTCAGAGGTGATGTATGGTGCTACTGAGATACCACCCTCGATGGAGAGGTGACAAGGACAGAAGCAAGTATTATAAAGGTGAGAAAGATGGCCATCATCTTCTCGATTCCTGCCAGGCGTCAATGAGCTCAGTGGACTCTGTCTAACAGTCCGAGGTGCAGTCCACATCCTGGATCCACCACCTGCCTCCTCTGATTTACTCACAGCATCGTCCAGCACATACAACATCCATTTGTCTGCCTGCTATTTGCCCCCTGGCCCCGCCGCTCTCACATATGTCCCAGAACAGGCTTCCTCTGAGGCCCGGATGCTGTTCTGGGTCGTTCTCCATCATGGGGGGCTGTCTCGTGCACCTCCCTGACCTCTGCAGGCTCCTCTTCCCACCCCAGGTCATGACAACTAAAAACGTCTTCAGACTCTGCCAGAGGCCCTCATGGGACACTAATCGGGCCCTGGCTGAGAGCCACGGCCCTGGGAAGTGAGTGCCAGGCAGTACCAGGCTGGATGGGGCCCTGCCAGTACGTGAATGGCACCAAGAGCTGGCATGGAGAGGGCTGAGCGTGACGAGGCACTGATGCACCAGGCATTGTGACCCCAAAGTCCTGACACTGGGCTTCTCCGTGCTCGGCAGCCGAGTGCTGATCCGGCTGATCTCGAAGCCTGGGGTAGGGGCTTCGGGGCTGCTCCATGGGGGTCCACTTCCCAAGAGGGCAGCAGGCTGGGCTCCCCCCAATAAGAGGTGTCCACACACCAGCCTTGACCCAGTGCAGGAGATGGACAGACAGCATCGAAAACACAGACCTGACCGAGGCCTACTGGTTTGCATTCAGGCTTTTCCTTTGTGGCCTTAAATTTAACCCTGGGATGATCTTACACAGTGAGTGAACCTGCCTGGGGACGGCCTCTGTCCTAGCAGCACACATAGTCTTAGCAGACTTTTGAGTTCTTTGTAAAAGTACATTGGAGAATTAATGGGTTTGATAGATGAGTAGATAAAGAACTTTGAATTAAAAACCTATGGTCATGGAGAAATCAAGCAGTTAGAGACGCACAGAACCTTACAGGAGAATTTCCATCCTCCCCTTGCTAGGGAATTGCAGAGCTCTTTTCCTACCTTAATGTCGCTGCGATTGGACTCTGGCACAGACAGGCGAAATCTGAAGGGAAGCAGGAAGAGCTTAAGTAAGGAAGGGTAGATTTTAAAATAAGAAGAAACAAAAAAAGCAGCTGTTCAAGAGGCACTTCTTTTTTGGCAGGGGGTGGTGGTGGTGGTGTCCAGTACTGGGGATCAAACTCAGGACCTCGCACTTGCCAGGAAGGAAGGGCACCACTGAGCTAAATCCCCAGCCCCAAGGATATGCTTCTTTAAAAAGCCACACAGACAAACTTGGAAGGCGTGGAGTTCTGCTGCATCTTCTACCGCTGTTTTGTTTTGTAACCTCGTGGCTTCCAGTGTGCCTTTGCTGATACACGGGGCTGATTGACTGGGCAAACCACATGCAGAGCAGTGGCAAGAAAGAGCTTTTCTGTCTTTGGCTCCGAATTCAACTTCACACTACCCGAGCCCTTACTACAATCGCAGTCCACGTGTACGTCCATGCTCAGTCTTGGTGATGCCCTCAGGAGGCTGTGGTAACCAGAAACCTACCTATCTACCTATCTATGTATCTGGCACCGTCTGTCATCTGTTTATCATCTATCTATTGATTTATCTATCATCTATCACTTATCTATCATCTATCAGTCTTGCATACTAGGGTATGACTGTTATTCCTTATGTGTCAACTCCAGGGGGTTAGGTAACACCTACAGATTAGTGCAGCATACTCCTGGGTGTGTCTGGATGTGTCCCGGAGGGTCCCTCACTCCTTCTCTGCTGCTGTCCCCTGCTCTGCTTCCGGCTACCACTCTGGTTGCTTTGGTCTGCCAGGCTGCACCCCCATAATCAACTGCTCTCTCTCTCTCTCTCTCTCTCTCTCTCTCGGTATGGGGAACTGAACTCAGGACCTTGCTCTTGTGAGGCAGGTGCGGCACCACTGAGCTAAATCCCCAGCCCAAGATGTTTCTGCTTGGAGCCAGTGGAGCACGGAAGATGTGAGCCACCTAAAGCCTCTCCTCCTCTAAACTGGGTGTTGAGTAGTCAGGTATCATGGCCAGCAGCCGGGAAAGCTGGCTGAGACATGGGGCTGACCCAGGGCCTCCCACTCCTAGGCAGGTGCTCCTGCACCGAGCTGCACCGTAGCCCTGAGTTGCTCACAGCACACGGAGGATCCCTAGTGACAAGAGCTATCTGATGCAAAAGGTGGTGTGATAGAATTGTGCCTGAGTTCAAATCTCACTTCTATCCCTCACTAACTCTGTAAACTTCCCCAATCTCTGTGGATCTCAATTTGTGCAACTGTAAAATTGTGGTGTGAACAGTACTGCCTTACAGGGTTGTAGCTAGAATTGAATGAAATAATGCATATCTCATTCAAGGCTGTGCCCGGCACGTCCTTGTCACCCTACAAACATGAGCCATCTCCATTAGGTGCGGGGCAGAAGGCTAGCACAGAATGTCCTTGATGTCCTTTGTCAAAACCCCAGGGAGCACACGCTGCAGGCCCGTGTGGCAGGAGGTTCCCATCCTGTGTCCAGCAGGGTGGCTGACAGCATGACCCCGAGGCTCGATGATTTCACAAGGAAGGATTTGCACAGCATTGCCTCTTCCCCAGCTTTGCTGAGGGCTGATCCATAGCTCGCCTTCCAGAGACACATGTCTGATTCTGTACACCGTTTCGATGAGTGTTCGAAGAAGTAGGGCCAGGGTTTAGCTCAGTGGTGCTGCCACCTGCCTTGCAAGTGCAAGGACCCAAGTTCCATCGCCAGTACAAAGAAAAAAGAAGTATGAAGAAGTAGTACTCAGCAGAGAGAACTCCTTCACGTGGCAGGTGGGGAAACTGAGGCCCAAAGAGGGGAAGTATTAAAGGCACATCTGGGGCTGGAGGCCAGCTCTCTTGACCCCCATCCTGGAGTTCCCTCCGTGAAAGGGTGTGTGTGACCTTGTTTTGCTTCCTGCTTTAGCTTTCTATGGCTCACTTTTGCTCATCTGGGCCTCACTTCTGCGTCAGCCTCTTCTGAACTTCCATGTCCAGTCTGTTTTCTCCCTTTTTTCAGTGTTGGGGATTGAATACAGGGCTCTCACACTGAGCTACATCTCCTACCCTTTTCTTTTTTACTGGATGTAGGATCTCACTAGGTCACTAAGTTGTGATCCTTCTGCCTCAGGCTCCCAGTGTTGGGATCACGGGTGTGTACCACCACATCTGGCTTTGTCCACAGTCTTGATCTTCTCCGGTTTGTCTTCTGCGCTGTCCACAGACAGAGCTGTTCCACAGGTCTGATGAGAACTCTCCTAATCAAGATTCTTTGCTGGCTTCCGACGAAGTCCAAGTTGCTTAGGTGGCCTGAGAGAGACTTCCTGTGTCCCAGCTCCCAGGTGCCTCTTCCCTCATCTCTTTGTTCTCCCTGGCACGTTATTATCATGAGCCCTGAGATATTTAGTGCTGTGCTGTTGTATTCACCAGGCTCTGTAGACCTGGGCTTAGAACGGGCATTGCCTTCAAAGCACATCTCCAAAAAATCCTTAAAACTTTATAAATACCAACAAAAGAGTAATGGCACCGTCATGTGGTAGTTGGAGACAACCACAAGGCTGGGGTTGGGGTGGGCCGGGGCAGCAGAATCCTGGGCCCTTTGCCTGCTACTCATCAAAAGCTTGACTGGAGCTTTCTCCTAGTGCAGGCAGGGACCTAAAAGCAGTTTTTGCTAAAAGCCATGACTTCTCACTTGTGCCTGCAAATTCCCAGTGGATAAAAGCTTGGTTTATGTAGCGAAACTGGGGAAAAGCCTGCTCAGCGCTGCACACAGGCTTGGCAGTCATTCAGAGAGAATGTAATTCCACCTAGCCTGCGTCATCGTCCATCAAGACGGAGGACCCAGGGTGACAGATTTACAGGGATGTTCAGCTGTGCCCAGAATCTGCCCTGCCCTAAACCTTCAATCAGCTTGGAGTCCAGCAGAGCCCTGCATTGCTGCCACTGCCCCGTGATTTTCCAGGTTTCAATCTGATCCATGAAACCAGGACAGAGCTGATAATGAACCCAGCCCACCCGAGCTGAAACTTAAGAGCTGGTCCTACTTGCAAGTGGGCCACTTGAACCCATGAATTCGAGTGCATCCCTCCAGCTACTCAAACCTTTTCTACAAATTCCTAAAGCAAGGACCCATGCTAGCTGTCGTTGCAACATTAAGGCAACAAGTCACTGTGCCCTGATGCCACTCACTGTTAGACACACAGTTATGCAGCGTATCCTAGGCCGGAGTCTCCAGACATTAGAATGACACAGCTGAGAGGCACTTCCTCACCTGACCCACCAGCCACTGGCTCTCTGCCTAGGCTCACGCAGTTTCCTTTTTCTGGATGTTGCCCCTCCCACTTCTCTTTGTTTGGCATGATGGTTTAGATCAAAATGGCCCCACAGCCTCCTGGATTTGGAAGGGGATTGGACTGTGGGGCGCACAGCTGACTTGCTATGGAGGTGGGGCCAGAAGGGAAGGGGCGGTCACTGTGGCGTGACCTGGAAAGGTCTGGCTCCCTCCCCAGTTCCTCCTCTCTCTCTCTGCTTCCTGTCCGCCATGTTGGGAGCAGCTCTCCTCCACCAGCCTCTCCATTATGCTAACCTGCCTTGGAGCCAGCTGGCTGTGAACTGAAGGGAGAGGCAAGACAGACCTCTTCTCCCTTGAGTTGTGGGTGTTGGGTATTGTGTCCCTGCAAGGAGGAAGGCAACTAAGACAACGCTGTAATCTCTTATGATTTAACTCATTGCCTCCTCTCCCAGGGTCTGTCTGTGACATTTAAAGGGCAGATTTCATAGAAAGACGACATTGCTATCAGTCATGTCCTGTTAGCATGGGTTAGGTTTTGAGATGGCTTCAGATTGATAACTAATGACAAGCATTTGTTATTGATAACCAACATAAAATCCAGAAAGCCAGCTAAGTCTGGCAAGGATCAGAGATGGGGTCGTGGCCCCTGGGGTTCAAGCTTGCTGGGTGGGATGTGCAGCTCAGAACCCGCGGGGCTCTGGGAAGATTCCTGTTGAAGAGAAGCAAGGGCGCTGCCTCTCTGGTCACACCGACTCATGGTGGCCAAGCCTGCGCTAGCTCAGCAATGCAAGCCCAGGCCACGCCCAGCACCTAGGAGGGCCCCACACGACCTCGGCCAGAGACCCTGGCTCTCCGTGTCTCCTGGAACCCTCTCACTTCCGTCCACTTCCGGGCTGGGCCAGACGCACTTGCAGATTTGCTCACTGAAGATTCTTAACTGGAGGGAAAACCCTCCGAGCTCACAAAAAAAACAGGCAAGCTCACCTGTGGCCACCGGGTGGTGCCTGACTCCGGTCATTGACTTCTTCCTCTACCAGGGCAAGCAGCCTGTTCTTAGGGCAGAGCCATGGAGCAGTTGGTGAAAAAAGAGCTCTCACATAGCCCTGCCTTGCAGACACAGGGCCGCCCACCTCTGGCAGGGGCCAAGCTTAGTGACAGAGCAGCTGCTCAGCACATGCGAGGCCCCGGCACACGCACAGACACAACCACATGTACAGGCTGCCTGTGTTGAAAACTAGCTGGGTGTGGTGGCATGTGCCGGGAGTCTCAGCCACTCGGGAGGCCAAGGCCAGGCATCTCAAGTTCAAGGTCAGACCGGGCAATTTACCAAGACCCTGTCTCAAAATAAAATAAGAAGGGCTGTGGCTGTAGCTCAGTGGTAGAGCACTGGGCTGGGCGTCAGTGGGCCCTAGCTCAATCCCCAGCAGTGCAACAGCAGCAGCAGCAGCAACACAGCCGGAGTGCACTTCTGAAGCCTGAGACACTAAGGTTGGCAGACAATGAGGTCAGCCCACACCTCACGACCCTGTGAGCTGCTGCTACCATCTGACCTCCCAGAGGGTAGAGACCCAGCCAGAATGAGACGGCTCAGTGACTCATCCAGAAGATGCATACTGAGCCCTGGGCTGGAGAGATGACTGAGCAAATGGGCTATGGCCCAGGGCCTTGTGTAGCTCACCACGGAGCTGAGCAGAGGGCCGTCAGCAATCAAGTGACCCCACTGATCAAG